CAAAAAAAACAAAGTTAAATTTAATTGTGTCCCTCTCATATCTCTCATTTATTTGAGATTGCTGTTACATTATGAGGTCTTGCATCTCTTTGAACGCACCGCTGCACATGTAGGCTTTCTCCATTCCCCAGATGTAGGAGCCACACAAGTCACATGACTGCATAATGTTCACCTGGTATGTGCTGAACAGGTGATCCAGAGGACTGTTAGGCTGTAACGTGAGAGAGAAGATGTACAGACAATGCATTAGGATGATTAATGTGGATGTATAACGGAAAAAGTTCACAGTGCCAGTAAAGATATTACTATACTATATTATTATAGCGTACACATTTGTCTTTTTTCCTCCTCTTCTTCGCTGTCTTGGTGGTCTGAGAAAAGCCAGAAGTGAGAGATGAGTGTGTGACGTGATAGTTTATCCTTATGAAGTATTTTAGAGACTGATTACAATTAAAACTTACCTTGGCTGGCTCAGACTCTACTCGTTTTTATCTCGCCCCTAATAAAGCCGTCCAGCACAGACTGGAACAGGTTGACCACCAGCGAGACTTCTGCCTTCTTTTTGGACCCAGCTAGTGTGTTCACTTTGTTTTGGTAGCCCTTCATCAGATCTTTGTAGCCAATCTGGGGCTTCTGTTATATGAAAAAAGTAAAGTTAGTGACAACATGTATAAAAATGCTCCTACATGAATGTGCTAGTAAAAGACTGTTCCCTTTACTTTCTTCCCACTCGATTAAACTTTATGTTGTACAGAGGAAGCTCAACTGACCTGGACAGAGTACATGCCTTTGATGGTCTCTCTGAACTGCATGGTGGCTGTGAGGAAGATGCTCTCTGTTTGTGACAGCTCTTTTATTCTACTTCGCAGCTCATTCACCTGAAGACAAAGACGATGCAGAACACAGGATTTTTTTAATTGGATAGGGAGAGAGAGGGTTATTACATGCAACAAAAGTTTCCCGGATTATTTAAAAAAAAATGTCCATTTTGTACAGCTTGCTTGAGGTGGTTTCCAAAATGCTAAAAGAAATTGGAAAATAATAAAACAATTTCTATCTTGGAGAAAACACACAACTATTCTACCATGAAACAAGAATGAAAAAAGATAAAGCTTGTAAATAATGTATTATAAAATATCTATATAAACAGATAGATCAAAAGTGAAAATGGTTAAATATTACAATAAATGATCAAACTCAACTCATGAAATGTTTAACTGGAATTACCTTTTATTTTGTGAAATGATTTATATATTTCAAAATGTCATCTTCAAAAATATGTATGTACGCAGTTAAGAACTGTAATAACTGAGCTATTAGTATGTAACAACACTACAGTACAAACATGTGAGAGCCATAAATTCCCCTCCTGTCTCACCTGATTGCCGAGGAATTCGTCCAGGTTTCGCAGCTCTTTGGGGTCGGTGATCTCACGGTCCAGAGACGCGTCCCACTGCATCACCCGCGTGGCGCGACTGATTCGAATGGTTGGGTTTCGACTGATTCTCCCGCTGTCCTGGTTTGGCCTGTGGTAGGGATGTGGGCTGTAGCTGGGCAGGGTGACTGAGTCAGACAAGGGAGAAGTGGCGTTAGGTTTAAACACTACCATATCTACTGGTGATGTTTAAAATACTTTCAATAAAAATCTGAATCAAAATAATGTTTCTATATGAGTCTCTTCAAACCCCCAGAATAATATAGGCATGCTATGCAGACCCTCAGATGGCAGTGAAGAGAGGTAGTGTGTAAACCAGTGATATATGATAGTAAACTGTGACCTCCACTTGTAAACAAACATTCATTCACAATCATTCCTCTTTTTTCCTCACAGTACTTACAACCTGCTGCCCATTTAAAGTATGTGAAAATTCAAAATACCTGCATTGTAGAAATAAGTACATGAAAGTGGTTGTTATGGAGAATAAGTCTTTTGGTTACCGGCCAGGGATGTAGTGTTGATGATGTCCGTGTTCGAGGAATATTTAGGTGCCCGCTTTTTCAGGAATTTACTGAGAAACCAAACCCTGTAGAAAGACAGCCTGTATCAGTAACATCAAATACGTTAAGTATTGTTAAAAACAGCAAACCTAGGTCCTGAAAAAGCAAAAAACTTGAGCAATTTCCTTTGAACTGAGGAAAGGGTTTTACCTCTCAGGTGATGTGAGTTGTGATTGGTTAGATCCCTGTTGTCTTGAGTCCTCATGGGTGCTCCTGGCTGGAAGACTGAACCTCGACCCATCAGGTTCTGCTGGTATCTGCAACAGTATAAAAAACATCAACATGCTCTAAGTCAAAGTATAAACTTGTTCACAAGCTAGGTACACAGAGTTAGTCCTCCTTACCCACCATGTCCCCCTGCAGCAGCTGCACGACAGCTCCCACCACCAAACCAGACCACAGACAGTAAACAAGGTAGAATATCAGCACAATAGTACATTTTTACTCATCATGCAAAGCCACACTGCCACCTGCCACCAACTGAGCTTTGACCTTTTTTGCTTTAGTTAGTTTTAGCAAAGTTAGTTCATATATTATTAACATTGTGGCAGTGTGTAATGAACACTTTTTATTTACACACAAGTGAGATTTAATCGACAAATCTACAGATTCTGAATCTTTTTCCCATTTATACGTTCATTATTAGATGTGATTAGCACTAATTGTTTAATTCTTTCCTATCTTTTGGTGATTTTTGTGCGAAATAAACAATATTCCAGTAATGTGTACATTATCTAAAGTAAAGTGATTATTGCAATAATCTGAATAACATGGGTTCATTTAATAATTAATTCACATATATGATGCCATATAGGTTAAATAATGTATAATGAATTTGTAGCATTGTATATAAAATATAATCTAAATGAACGAAAATGAGGCCAATACGCTAAAATAAGTCACAATCCTTGTCTTAATTTCAAAGTGACCAAAAATCACAAGAAATTCATGATATTCTGTAGTGAGTCCGAACTATAGTAAGTTACCTTAAGGCTACTTTGGTTGAAAAGACAAAAAAGATCAAAAATGAGCTTTGGAAAATGGCCTTTGATATTTCCTTCTTAGCTCATTTTTTGTTGTCCTGGGTTGCAGGGTAGCAATAAGAAGTCCCAGAGCAATGCAACCGTCAGCAGATCTGGGGCATACACATGCAAGGCTTGCATGCAGACAGCAGCCACGGTCGGTCAAAAGGTCTCTTTGGTCAGTACCTTGACCTGGGATTTGTGGGCCCGGACATCCACGCTACTGGCTGAGCTCTTCAGGCTAGGCATATGGGGGCTGATGGGAGGCAGTGGAAAGCTCCAGTACTCGCTCTCCTTGGAGCCCCCAAAGTTAACCATCAAACCGCTGCGGGCGTAGGCTAAATGCCGCTTGCGTTTGGGCTGCTTGCGCAAACGCACCCTTACCTAATTGGGCCAGGAAAGGTGATGAGGCACAGACTGGGAGACCATCTTTGATTCATGTGTAAGGGGCCTCCATTCATGTGTTTGTCAGGTTACAACACACTGTACACACAGTACTACGAAAAGCTATTTCCAATATTTATTGTTGTACAGGACACGAACAACAACCATATGAGAGGCAATGAATGGATTGAATGACTGTTTTGGATTATCTAATAACAAAGTTTACCTCATTGGTAGAGGGTGAGCTATCGGAGCCTGATGAGCTGATCCTGGACAGTTCCTCAACAGACATGGACTTCCCTTTGAACCTGTGTTGTAGAAGCAAAGGAGCAGAACTGTGGATGACTGCGACAGTAAAATAAAGCTCTTTGCAATTACTGGTAACAGCACTGACATCCATATTTTCAGAAATTATTGCTATATTAGATTGATATATATATATATATAT